CCTTGAATTGGACCCGGAAGCAAACTGGCACCCAATGCAGCTCATGGAGCAAAGGTGTTATATGGGTCCTTCTTCGGACCCCAAACATAGCTCACGCGGCTGCATTCTGGACCAGCTGAAGCTTCCGGATACTCTTCAAGGGTAGCCCCATGTAGAGCACATTGCAGTAGTCTATTATTGTTGTTTAAGTAGGCTATTATTGTTGTTTAATTTTGGAGTTTTGCTGGTGCTGTCTACTGGTGTTGCTGTTCAGGAGTCAGGTGGCTGACTTACTGACTGTAACATTATTTGGAGAATTTGTGTTCTAGATAGGAATGTAATATAGAAGATGAGTTAGGTGAAAGTTGAGGAATATACGGATATCTAATAAGACTGTGTAGAGATACAAAAAGGGCAAGAAAGGAAAATCTGTCAAGAAGATCTGAAAGCACCTGGGATTTTTACCTGATGGTATTCATGTCTGGTTTGAGGAGTTCCCAGGTGGTGCTATGTACTCACTCAACTGCTTCCCAAATCACATCTTACCCTTTGAATCTAGCCCTACTGTCCAAACATGGAAGTTGGGTCCATCAAAAATTCTTAGAACCCCTTGCAATCTCCTGGCTCAATATGGGAAAGTCAACAATTGGCACAGAAGGAAGATTGAGGACAAAATGTCCACATAAGCCCTTACATACATCTCTCCTTTTCTCTCACACAAAAAGGATACGTGCCTGCATACAGCTTTGGAGATCACCCCAAAAGAGTGTTGAGATGAGATAAGATTTAACCCAGTGAAATGTGTGGGGAGCCTAGAGGATCCCCCTTTTAGTCTGGCCCCTGAGCTATGGGACACCTAGCCCCTATGTATCAGATGTTCCCACCTTGTTTGACTTTCTCAAGACAGTAAAAACAGGCCCATACCGATGAGTACCAGCATCCATCCAACCTTTAAGCATTATCATCATCTTCTTATCATTCCACCAATCTCATCTCAAAGAATAATTGCATGAGTAGGATGCATTGAAGGTCAAAACCCCAAAACCTCCTGGAAATAATCTACCACCATAAATCCTTTAAAACTAAGGTTGCTTCATGTTGAACTCCTATGGGGGATTACATGGACACAATCATGCAGAAGTGATTGCTTTTGCCTCCCTCCCCCAGGAAGTTTTTTCAACTTTTAGATTAGCCAACAACTCCAGTCTTCCTTGGTGGTTGCACACCCAAGCACTCATCAGGGCCAAGCTTCCTTAGCTTTGTTATGTCAGGTAATGTGATGGAAGGCATGAGTGGGGAGGATTCTGGAATGGAGCTTCAAGGTTACAGGGAGGGGGGAGAGACATTCCAAGCATCTCCTCAGCCCCCAGCCGGACTGTGTGAAAGTAAGGAGGAAGAGACTGGCCCCTCCCTAAGGGGTTGATGGTTATAGTTGCTCTCGTTGGGGAATTAGAGTAAGTCTGGTGAGATTCTGTCTATTAGGTGCAAGCTAATAAAGAAGCTGAGATGATTTCCGGACTCTCTCATGTGATTCCTGGGTTGAACCTGACAGGTAAACTCAGATAGGGTGCTACTGCCTTCACAGGGATCCCAGAGAGCTAATTTTATTGGACTTGGGTATACTCAGACCTAAGCACCCAACTGACATTTCCTGAAGACAGGCAAGAAAGGGATCTGACAGATAAGATGTATGAAAGATCAACAGGCTACAAAACAGGCTCTGAAAGTAGGGTGTGAAGTAGGATATGTTTGTGCATGTATTTCTCTTTTCTTGCTTTTCATTCAGGATGACACCTGAGAAGTTCTCTGAAGAGGAGGTATTGTGTTTACAGAAACAGGACTTGATGGAGGCTGAAAAATCTCAGCCTCCAGTTGAACAAGAGCAGAGGCAAATAGTTCTAGGACAGAAACAGAAAAAATGGAAAATAAAATAAAATCTTAGAATGCAAGCTTGATCCTGTTCCTAAAGAATTAAGACTCACATATTATTTGGGCTAATTAGACAGCACTTAAAGGCAGGCACCCAGCCTGCAATATACAGGGATTATCCTCATAGCTTTCTGTGACATGACAATGCCTTCTAACTGTTTTTAAGGGACATGTCCTCATGACATCACCTCTGTCTAATCTCAAGTCCCCGGAAGGCAACCCAAAGTGATATCTAGCTACTTTGCTTTTCAAGTAGTGTTTTATCTCTCTTTCCAACAAAAAACGACCTGTACAAACAATCTACAATGTTCTGGTGATGGTACTGTCAATCACATCATTAGAGGATGGGATGTGCCCGGCTTCTATTGGCCTTTTGAACCGCTGTGGACACATTCTGTGCTCAGATCTAGGGGCATCACCCTCTAAGGTCATATGGTTTGGGCTGCAAGCAAGCCTGGATAATTGGCTTCTGCAAAGGGGTACAATACCTTTCTTTAAAAAGATCAACAACAACATGAGTTTAACGGTAGATGTCTTTAGAAAGAAAGTACTGGTGCTCTACTTGATTTAATCTGAAAAAGAGAGATACAGTCTGCCACCAGTGTCTTGTTACTTCAGCATGAAATGAGCATATAACAGATTTCAGATTTGTCTGCTGGCTCCAGGTTTCATGTGGCTGTCCCTTCCACTGGTTTTTTTTTTATTATTATTATTTTGGGTTTACAGAGGCACAATTTTAGATATGGCATGGAATAATTAGCGGTGTTGCTAGTTGTGGCCACTTGCTGCTTAACATTGCATTCCCTCGGCATAATCTGTAATGGTATGTGGGAATGGCTTTGGGAGCCAGGAGGAAGAGCTGCAGACTAGATAACCATCACAGAAGGAAAAGGGGTGTGGGAAGCATCTCCTAAAGGACCCTCCTAGTTTTCTGGAGAGTAAAAGTAAAGTACTGGAGAAGGGCTTTCAGAGTTGCAAGATTCTGTTACTGTAATCTTACAATAAAGATGGAGGTTGTATTCATTGATGTGCTTCTTGTTTGGACCACCTTGAAGGGCTAACATAATCTGACAGAGGCTTCATGGTGTGCAGGTCAGAAGCAAGCAGCATGAGGAGTCAGACTGGTTGTCCTTTACTTTAGCTCTGCCGGGTGGCAGCCTGTAGCCAAACTGGGCTGATCTCAACCAGTCAAGCAAGGTCAAAGCTGGTTAGTACTTGGATGAGGAATCACCTGGGAAAACCAGGACTATAGGCTAGTCTGGATGTGGAAAAGCATCCTGAAATAAAGGCAAAGCAAGGATAAGAAAACTGCATGACTGTGTCCGTGTATGAGAATTTAGAAAACCCTGTGAAGTCATCAGGATTGAAACTCAGCTTGGACAATTACTTTTGGAATCAGGCTGAGGCTATCTGCAGGTTCTCCACCCACTCCTGAATTAGGCATACTTCTTGCACTAATATTAAATAAGCATTAGAGCATTTAAAGTTACAATATTTACAGAGGAAGAAGCAAGAGATTTTCCATTTCCCCAAAGCTGGACTGCAACTTCATGCTGACTTCCACATACAGTACTCAGAGCCACTGAGAAACTGAAGTGAAAGGGGATTACCGATGGCTTCCTGTGAAACTTCATGGATGTAGCAGAGCTTTGGTTTAAACTGATTTGAGGTTATGCTATGAGTTTTCATAACTTTTATCCATACGTACAGCTGCTGGTTATTTGAACAGTTCCCTCCCACCCCACACTGACAAATATAAATATTTTGTTTTCAACCTTCATACCCTGGAACTACCTTATCCTTTTTGATTTTCCCATAAGTAATTTCGATGTTATTCATACTTCATCTTAGTTAGGTAGAGAAAGGGATTTTTTTTTCTATTTGAGATCAATTTTAGAAGCTTGCACATTTACAAAACCAATCCTCTTACCTTTCAGGAACATTTTTAAATAAGTGAAACATTGATATGAAAGGAGGTAGTTTAAAGGTATAAGCTTTATTCAATTGGGCATTGATTCAACACTTAAGATTTTATTATCCAACATAGACTTGCTTGTGTTTGTTCACCAAAGAAGACCAACCAAGCAAAACACATTCTCACATCAGTATTGGATTCAGTTCCTTACATTTCTTCTTTTGTTACCCAATGTGATAAAAGTCTCAGTGGTTTAGCAGATTTATCCATCCTGAAGTGCCATCTTTTACTTTTGGCATCAGGAAGAAGTACTTTCCCAATAAGAATATAAAATACAGGGTTGATGGTGCTGCTCACAGAAGTGAGCACAAATGCTAATAATGAGATGAGGGCCAAATGGTTACTTGACGTAAGAAACAAACGTATGGGTCCCCAAGTGACCAGGGAGAACAGGATTCCCAATATAATTTCTAGAGGGACTTTCCCTTGTTGGTGTAGATTGCACCAAATCCTCATAATCAAGGTTTGAGTGGAGATGACCATAAGTGGAACAAAAGTCATCAAGGAGACAACAATGATTGTGTGGGTGTCAACACCCAGGTTGAAGAAGAATAACATCTGACACGTTAGAGGCCAGAGAAGGACAGACAAAATGGCAGATATAACAGAAGGCATATAGGTTGATTGGTGGCACTTACGCCAACTTGGGGAAAGTAGGGCAAAACACTGATCCACCCCGACGGACATGAAAAAATGAGTGTTATAACCCTGCATGACTAGAAACAGGTATGCCAGAGGAAGCAGCAATTTAACAAGGGCATTGCTTGAGTTCTCCCAAATATAATTATTGAACGCTAATAGACAGATACTGCACAAGAAAATGAGGACCCCAAAACTACCAATGGCTAAATTCCAAATGCCGGCAGTCCATGAATTCCTTTTAAAGTGGAAGAGAAGAAAAAAGAAGAGGATTAGGTTTCCCAAAAGCCCAGCTATGAAGATGGAGACAATGAACCCAGCAAGAATATGATCTCTTAACAAACATGCTAAGAAGTCCATTATGCAGTCGCATTCAGTGCTAAGAGAGTGTGAACCGTTCAAGGAATGAGTTGCAAAGAAGGTTGCATTCAGTTCAGTCTTATTAAAAGGGCCACTTCTGAAATGTTGCTTTTTCCCAAACTCCGTCTTGTCATCTGTGGGAAGATGTAAGTCTTCCTAAAGAGAGAGGCAGAGAGATGGAAAAAAAGAAATCAGATTTGGACAGGAATGGAGAATGGCTGAATGAGAGAATTAATTGCCCCATTGTTATTTTCCCCCCTCAAGGTTCCAGTAGGTCTCTACCAGTATCCAATTTATGCATGTTTTTTTTTTTAAATGTTTGAATTGCATTTTGAAATATATGGTCAACAAAACAAGGAAATGGTGAATAATTAAAAAAAAAAACTGCACAATGGCAAAGATTGAATTCATAAACTTAAGGAGAGATATACAGTTTTAGACATTTATATTCAGTATTTCTATCCAAAAAGTCATTTGCACAGTCTACTAAAATTACTTTATTTATATAATGAGATAATAGAAACCAATGTGGATAAAACAAACTTTAATTTCTATACTTTTAAGTACTATTGATTCAAAGAACAACGTGAATTTCTATTGCCAAATATCCAGAAAAAGGCAGCTAATATTAAAAACTGAATCAATGTCTTCCTTTGTACCATTTTATACGTCTTGGGGGAAATGCTAATGATCCCTGTCAGGGAATTTGTCACCTCCACAGCCCCTGTACGCTGAGTTGGTATTTTCATGCACCTGTCCACCAACAGTTCAGAAATCAGACCCCACAGCTATAATATGGGACAGGTCCTCACTACAAGCAAACAGTTGATTGTTTTGTCATCCAGTAGACTCAGTAAAAGGGAATCTAGAGAAGAGTGGAACGATTTCAGGGAGATTTGCCTTCCTACTATTCTTGTTCTTATTTTCTAACTGCATCAGGCCGATTCATCTGACAAAATCATCATCTTCATCATCCTTTCACTCACCTTTTCAACTGAGCAGTTCAGCAAAATGGAGGATGTGACAGTGGCTTCTTTGACAATGCACCAAAGGCTGAGCCAGAAGAGGAATGACATCACTTCCTCTTTCCTTCCTCCTAAAGAAAGAGAAAATATCAACTGGGCATGTTGCATCTCAGTTTGAAGAGATCTGTGCATTTTTCCACTAGATGAGCCTTTCTCTCCCATGAATCCCTAACGGGAAATCTGTAAACCTCCTTTTCTTCCCCTGCCCTTAGGCTCTGAAGGGCTTCTGGATATCTCTCATGGCGTTCAATGACATCACATCAAGCCATAGTTAGTTGCATGATGGTTTATTTATTAAGCCACAACTGGTTATACTCCCGCAATACTTAGATATAAGCCACCTTTATAAGCTAAACCATAAGCTATGATTTATAAGCCATAGTAGCTTCAGTCATATATTATATCATGAAACAAATTAACAAGTCAAACAATGGTTTAGCTCAGTATGTGAAGCCAGCTAATGTATTGTATGACTTCTGGGACACGTTGGATTACTGGAAAGCCTAGGTTGAACCTGATGGACTGAAACACTCGCCTGGCATGATGGCATTTCAGGCATGCCTTCAGTGAGCGAAGATTTGTGTGAGAGTCTGCGGTCACTCAGAACATCTGTTTTCCCATTAATAATTGGGTTCATGCAGCTCCCTCAGATTGGTTACTGAATTAGTACCCAATTCAATACTGAATATTCAACCTGTTTTCTGGATTTGCCAAGTACTTCACATCGAAATAAAACCAAGTCATTTCTCCAGACTTTTCATTATTAATTAGTTTGGTGATTGATTTTCATTCTGACTTTCATCGGAGGAGGAGGATTTGATATGCTTCATGCTTTGCATTTTTTAAAAAAATGTTGCAAGCTGTCATGAACGTTGGAACAAAGAGATGACAGCGGTTTCCATGGATGGAGTGGGAGTGTAAAATCAGATGGTGGTCATGGTAGCATCATCTAAGCCCTATCCCTGTTCTCTTGTGTGTCAACATTGCACGTATGTAAAAAGAGCAGGGTTTTGATTTTGCAGCTGGGATCAACGTCTCAACTTCTTTGACCCTCATTGCAGACCCCATGACAGAACGTGGGGTGTACCATCCAAAAGGAAGTAAGACAGACCAAATAGGCTGAGTTTGTGCAACAAATGAAGCCACAAAAAACCACAGAAGAATTAAATTAACCAAGCAGAGAGTGAGGTAGGAATGCAGATCGTGAGCCATGGTTAAGAGGGTTGTGTAAACATAGCCACAGAAAAATCACAAATAAGCTCTGAAATGTTATCACATTAATAACAGAACCCACTAGGAAAATTGCTTCTCTGTAAGAGGGTCTTGTAGATGATGATAGGAGACATAATGGGATACTTAAAGTCGTCCTTTGCTTTGAAATGCAAATGAAAAAACTGATGTCTGCGTAGATCGAATCTAACACTCACCCTGCCCTGAATTTCAAACCTGAGTTACAAAGATCAGCAAAGGATCCAAACTCTTTATAGGCAACCGGAGATCCTAGTATAGTCCTGTTATGCAAAATTTTAGGTTTTATTATTAGCTTTTTAATAAAGGTGATATTAGCATTTTAGCATGGCATTCATGGCTCCTTTTGAAGGATCAGGAAGTCATGTTTTTCCTTTGAGCCAGAGCCATTTACTATGAAGTGCAAAAAATAGCCTTTTCAGCAACCAAACAATAGGGCTGTATTCTGAAGTCCTTAGTTAAAGTTCCAAGTGTTAGAGGAACAAACCTGGGTGAGAAAGGAGGAGATACAACATATTTTAAGGGTGTCTGTCTTTTCTCACATCTAACAAAACACATCAATGTCTTTTACTGCTTGATTTGTAGCTTTCTGACCCATCACATATATCAAATCTATGTATCATTTGTTTCTGTACCGTATATAAAGACTTGACTGCCCCCTTAATAAATGCCTTTTGCTTTGCCTGAAGAACTTGTGGTTCATATTGTTGGGGAGGGGGGACAAAAAAGCCACTTTGCAAAGGTACTGGGTGTTTCTCTCTCAAGTTCAGGGACTAGGTTCTTTCCAGCTCTACGCCAACTCGGGTGGCTGAGTTTTGGGGGGCAACCATTCTTTGTGGCATAAAAAGAAATATGGTGAAACACACAGCTCCCTGTTATGCATTGGGACATGTAGACAAGGCACCACTCATTGTCATGAGTCTACCAGGGTCATATGCATGAACACAGAAAGATACAAAGCAGGTGATAAACTACTGTTGAAAAAATGTTTAACATCTCTATCGATCCTCTATGTGAATGTTACTCTGTATTTCAGTATTTTCCATCCATCCTACCAGTTTTGTTGTTTTGCTTTGAGTTTGTGTTTTAGCTCTACCCCCTTCCCTGTTGTTTTTCCCCTCTGATCTCTTATTCCTCTTCTCATTTGTGTTTTTTTTCCAACTGCCACCAACTGTGACTTTGTTCTTTCCCCACATTCTACATTTCTGTCACATTCCATCAAGTATTGCTGCTAGCGAATGGCCTCTCAGAGTTCTCCATCCTATTTGGGGGAACATTTATCCATAGTTCTCTATCAGTAGGAGAAATAAAGTGACACCTTTCCATCTTTAGCATCCAAAAAAACCATATGGAGGCAATGCTTTGAGTAGGTCATCTGAAGATTTATGGGATAGTGACAAGCCTTTGAGTCTGAATTTCCAATAATTACTGAGATAATGTCAACCCAAAACACAATTTAAATACTGTTTTAATTTCTGGAAAAGAACTATCCTATTTTTAAGTGATTCCAAGGCTATTTCACAGTTGATGGGTAAATCTCTTTTTATAATTAATTTCACTTAGTGAAATGCAGGCAGAGAAATTCTCCGGAATATTCCCCCCCCCCCAGTTCTCATTCCGTCTGGTAAAATAGAATTTGCTTTTCAAATTTCTTTCAAAGGAAAAAGAATTTCAGAGAGTTTATCATGGGTAAAATGGGGTGTTGTTGCAGCTATTACATTTTTGGGCAGTCAGTGTGTGTTGTTCAGTCTTTCACTGACAAATGTCCATGGCTTCCTCTCATCAACTGAATTGCAAGAAACACCAAGAGAGAACTCCTGTCATGGATTTTTGTATTGTTCTTTGTTTTAGTACTGGTGCCTCTCTCACTGCAAGGAGGAAGCTCTCCTGCTGAGAAATGGTTGGGGAATTTCTCCTTTCCCTGGGACAATTTGGAGAAATTGTCCACTTAGTTCCTCTGGCCCCAAATTTGATGAAGAATTTCAAAAAGCCATTTGTGCCCAGTCATAGTTCACCCTCTTCTTTACAATGAATAGAAATCTATTCACATACTTCTCATTGGTGCTTCCTCCATGTTTCATTCTCTTCTACAAACATCTCTTTTCTGCTCTTTATTTCTGGAGAGGAAATTTCACTGCTCGATTTCCTAAACAACCCTGTTTTCTTTCAAAGGACTGTCACTGTTTTCTACTTCTATTGTCATCCTATAAAGGCCTAACCCCAATGAGGCCTGGACAAGATATTGTCTAGGTTTGCACAAGCTGCTAGGTGATTCAAGATGATTCAGGATTCTGGGAATCCAGGCATTTTCTTAGCACATTATGGAAGCCAAGGCTGCATGACAAAATAAATATGGCTATTTGATTGGATTTAGCACATCCTTTGAACCCAGGAATTGGGTTTGTTAACCTGGGATGACTAGTCCTTGGCAATGTATCCCTTTCCATTCCAGCAGAATTGTAACCAGTGCAAACAAGAGCTTTTCTACAGGGATCTAGAATTCTTCAAAAGCCATTTAGAAGAAGTTCTTACATATATACCCAAAAGGAAAGTTCTGCTGCTTTAATGCTTATCGTATTAGCAGAAAGGCATGATAGATTCTTCTTTTACAAAGTATATGGGGAATGGATTAAGTAGCAGACCTTCTCAGTGGTGACCCCTATTTTATGGAATAGTTTCTCCCTGGAATTACAGAGGATCCCAACCATTTTTACATTGTGAAAACAAGCTAAAACAATATTGTTCTAATGTACTGTCAGCCCTTACTTCAGTTAAGGATTTATGATTATACGGTTTGTACTATTACTGTGCTTTTATATCACTGTTTTCCTGTCATTATTCATGCCCAGGTTTCCATAGGATTGGTGTGGGAGGAGGAGGAGGAGGAGGAGGAGGAAGCAGCAGCAGCCTTTAAAGTTGCAATACCATTTTTTCAGGCTCCCACATAAAAAAGTCAGGTTTTCTTAATGAACGGCAGAGAGGTGTTACATTCATGTAAGGTCCAAAGCACTTCTCAATCATTTTTTAAGCCTGCATTGGCTATGGAAACATGTGGTGGAGAGTTGAGTCGGACCATTTAATTTGCCTTAGGAGTCAAATAGAAGCAAAAAACAAAGGCAGAAGGTTGGTGATGGACAGAGGTGGTCTTAGGTAGGGTATAACTAGACATCTAAATTGGGAGGGGCAAGCAGATTTTCTGCAGGGCAGGAGAAAAACTGCTGGAAGCCCATTTGCTTCGCTTGGTACAAAGGTGCTCCGTAAGCAATATGTGCTTAGGAAAGAGAATTTTCTTAGAAACTGGAAAGAGTCCTTCATGTAAATGAGAGGATTCTGATGCTATGCTAAAGTCTGTAATGTAACTGCTGAGGCTAGGTGAGCCAACAAGGCTACCTTGCATCCCCAGGACATTGACCCCGGAAATCTGTTCTCTTCCGTTTCCCAACATCTTTTCTAATGGTAATTTGGACAGTTGGTGCTGCTTCTGAAAAAAAGAAGAGCTTCCTGAGACTCAGAAGAGATGATTTCTTGGGCAAAATTCCAGACAAACCATCAGCCTTTTGCATGCAATTCTGTAGGGTCTCTTTAACAATAATCATTTAGAAACAACTGCCAAAAAAGAAAGAAAAACGCTCTTCAGATAGCTTTGGGGATTGACTCTTTGTGGGGTGGAATGGGGTGTTTTTCTTGTATGCGTGTGTTTTTTAAAAGGAGCTTTTATGTTTCTAATGCCATTTGTATTTCATCTGGCATCTTTCATTCAATAAACCTTTCAATTATCTTAGAATGTGGCGTGTGAATGTGGGGAGGGAGATCTGGCAGTTGT